TTCTGATAATGTAGTTCTGTAGGCCGGACAGTCCACAGCACAATGATATAAGCTTTGAACAACATCTAATAAGGACTTTGTTTTTTATTGTGCCACAGTGGGCTGAAAGACATCCGAAGTTGAGTTGGGCAAGACCACAAGCCCTTTCCTCAAAGCCAGGGATGCTTTCTAGGGGTCTTGACCTTGAGAATTCATCTAATCGTAATAACTCTCCAAAGCACCACTTCGAAATAGTATTTACATACAAATTCGGGAAATCCTCTTTACATAAATTCTGGGACTCACAGTCAAGCTGTGACAAATGTAACTCCAAGCTTCATCATAAGATACTAAACTATACCATTATTAGTAGAAAAAGCAAAAGAAACCTGCAATTCCTTAGATATGGCAATGGATTCTTAATATGACACAGAAGAATAGTGAAAAAAAATTGTAAGTTGGACTTCATAAAAGTTACATGTTTTATGCATTAGATGGCTTAAGGGACTAGAGAGATAGATAACCCACAGAATGAGAACAATATATTTGCAAGTCATATACAAGAGAGTAATTTAATAGTAAAATACATAAGTCTTACAATTCAATAAAATTTACTAAGAGCCCAATTTTAACTGATTAAAGGATTTGACCAGACATTTCTCCAAAGAAGATATACAAATGACCATTAAGCAAAGGAGAAGTTGTTCCATATTATTGAACATTTAAACAGAAAAATCAAAAGATCACTAAAATATCATTTCACACCCACTACAAATGCCTGCAATGTTTTTAAATGAAAAAAGAAAGAGTTGTCAATAGAGTGAAAACTGGAACACTTGGGCATCTCTGGAGAGAAAACCTGTAAAATACAGCTGTGTTTGTGGAAACCATTTCAAGGTTTCTAACAAAAGTCAAAGCTAGCGTTAGGGAGTGATCCAGCTAACTCTTTTTACAAAGACCCTGATTCTTTGTAGAGATCTCACCCACACACGCTCATGTGACCCTGATTACAACGAGGGACAGATAAAACAAAATGAGGAACAGGTGGTTAAATAAAAATTTACAGGGCACATTCACAACAGATCTATTTACGTTAATGAAAAAGCACCACAAGCTTATTGTTGTTGCAATTAAACAAATAAACACAATGAAAACTACACATACAACAAGCAATTATTCAGCAATAGAATGAGTGGGGTTTCTGTTTTGGCTTATTTGGGAAAGATTTCCTAAAAGAATAGAGCCAATAGGGTACATATGCCATTGTAAAAGTGGGTTTATTAGATTGTTCTACCCCTCAAATAATAGCTCTCTGAATACTAAAGACACAGATAACCCCTTACCTTCTCAATAAAGGAAATAGAAAGTCTCGGTAGAAACAGGACCAATGATGCATATGAGTTTGAAGAAAAAAGCCTTTATGTTCCTCTATACTGGCTGGTGAGATTTCCTAGAAAGACTGAGGCTATCTGTGGTCTGCTATCTATGGTTGATGGCAGCAGAACAGACGTAATTCACTCAGAAGGAATAGAACTTGCACACACTGGCTGCCTTTCTGTTTTTCTACTTGATTCCTTTTTTTTTCTTTTCTTTTTTGGTTCAGTCTGTGGAGTGGTAATGCCCACGCATAGGGATGGTTTTACCTCTTCTGTTGTTCTGCTACATCCTAATCCCCTCTCTGTCAACACTCTTGTAGACATAACCAGAAGTCTACCTGACTGGTTTCCTAAGCAACCTTATACATTCAACAAAAAAATCTATATGAACCAGCCAGTCCTAGCCCATTTCTTTTCCCGAGGCTTTGAAGACTATAGTGGAGTAACAAATCAGACCAGAGTATATGGTGGTGGTGCAAATTGATCAACTCAAGGCTCAGGCTCAGAAATGAAAGGAAACAGGAAGTTCCTAGAACTCCTTTCAAGGACACAGTTCCAGTGATTCAACTTCCTCCCACTAGGCCCTACCATCAAGATTCTACGATCTTCTAGTAGTTCCATAGACGGAGGACAGAGCCCATTAGCAATAATCACCAAAACCACAACAAGACAATATACCAAAACAGCATTGGTGTTTGTATTTGCTCAAACAGTATTGGAAGAACATATAAGAAGCCAAATTGTTCATAGATAAACATTACTACTTAGGCTACTACACGCTAATGTTTTACCCTAAAATTTTTTGTGAGTTAAAGTACAGAGATACTTTTGCCCTTACTGGTAGATTGTTAATCCCAAATTCCCTGAATTCAGTCTGTCTCAGGTTCTTATCTTAAGATGGATGGATAGCTGCTCTATACTCAAATCAGTGACAGAAAAACATAGGAAGTGCAAAAATCTTGTAGGCTAGTGCAGAACAGGATTGGATGGTAGTCATGGGGACGAGAGCCTGCATACCCAGCCTTTCCATATCTTTGGCTCTAGGATCATGCAAACATAGTACTTACTTAAAACTACAAAAAGATATAAATTACAATAAGTAATAAAGAGCAAGGTAGCTAAAAAAAGTCATCAGTTTACATGACCCATATCTGTACATGTAAATTATATTGGCACAGAGAACAGGAAAGCTTGAGGAAAGACAAATTCTTTAGAGAAGCTTGAATACAGCAGAGAGAGTCTACAAAGATAACTGTGGATCAGATGGGAAGGAACCACTGTGTAGTTATCAATCAGTCTGAACTATTTCTGTAATGGAGGCAGGTTGATCCGAGCTGTTCTGTTTTAAATTAACAGAATTATTTTAAAAACCTTCATGCATTAGAAAAATAAATGAAACCTGGAGGGAGATGTGGATAGTAAAAAAAATATGGAGTAGAAAGTTAAAGGTTCCACAAAGAGAGGTAATGGCAGGGAAATCAGTTATGGTCAAAAATGCTGAAGAGAACCAATCTGATAGTGTTGCTGAAAACAGCGTGCTGTTGAGATGATTATACAAGAGAAAACGAAAGATGAATTTAGGGTTTCTAGATTGGTTGACGAATAGAAGAGAGTTTGACCTTAATTACAGAAAATTCTAAATGGAACATTATTCAGAGGTTTTGATTGTATATTATGTGAATCTATTGAGAGGCAAAGAGAAAGTGTGATGTAATAAGGCCTTCAAGTGAAAAGTTATTATGTAAGTGGCAATGACTTTTTCCCTCTTATTTGTGAATGACTAAGAAGACATTTTCTAGTAAAATAAAAAGATCATTTATGCATAAATCAAGGCTTAGCTCAAAGTAAGGCTTAGTTCAAAGTATAAAATTGTAAGGCGTTGGCTACAGAAGCTTGCGAGCTAACTTTTGCAAACTCATTTCTCTTTCACTAAAATATGTTAGACACGTGACATATAGAAAACAATCTCAGGGTAATGCCACCACGCTAGCATTTATTATTTTCATAAAGAAATAAAACATGAATGTGACTTATCAAGATACATGTAATTTCCCCATTCACAGCACAGCACGCTTCAAAAAAATGACAGTTTTCTGAGATTGGAAATTACTGCAAGCAGAAGATTCACAAAATTATTATGACCAAAAGGGATTTTTTATAATAACTTTATGTGTTCCCTCAGCTTCACCCTTTTCCCTGCCAGCAATTAAACTTTTCACGCAGTGTATATTCATATTCTTTATTTCATTGCTTTACTTTTGCATGATTATTCCCCCAGTCATTTGTGGTTGGCGTTTCTCAGAAGCTGGAAATAACCCTGCTTCTGTTTTATATCCTAACTTCTAGAAAAGTTCACTGATCTGTGGCTTCAATTTCCAACCATGTACCAATTATTTCCCCACTAATCCCTCTGAGTTCTAACATCTAGACCTTTCCTGTTGGTTGTAATTATAAATAACATGCTTTTTCCCACTCTCCATATGTATGTCTCAAATACACCTTACACTACCTAGATACAAAGGGTTATAGTCAACCAGTTCCTTCAAATTTGCCATGTTCTATTGTTCCTGTCTGGAGTGTTGGACTTCTGTTAGCTGGAATAAAAATACTCACAAAAAAACAGTAGGGTGGGAAAAGGATTTGTTTGGCTTACATCCACCATTTAGGGATGTCAGGGAAAGAACACAAGGCAGTGACTTAGCGGCAGGAACTGAAGCAAAGACCATGGTGGAATGCTGCTTACTGACTTGTTTGCCGTGGGTTTCTCAGCTTGCTTTGTTACAACCCAGTACCATCTGCGCAAGGACGGCACCACTCACAGTGGCCTGGGCCTTCCCACATCAGTCATTAATCAAGAAAGTGGCCCGAGGATATGCCCATCCTAGGCCAGTGTAAGAAAGGCAATTCCTCAATTGAGAGTCTCCCTTCCTAAGTGGTTCTCGTTTGTGTCAGCTGACCTCTTGATTCAGAATAGCACATAAGCATCCCTGGTAGTCTCTGCTTCTCTCTAAAGCTTTGCAAGCCTGGCCTCCAACCCCTACCCCTCTCTCAACACTCCCATGGTACAAGCTCTCCCAACAGGTCATTAAGCCCTGAAGACTCAGAGGCCTTTCCTAACACAAAGCTCTCAAAGCCTTCCACAGTAGTCCCAAGAAAAAATGATCAGGTCTGTCATAGAAACGTCCCAGTCGCTGGTACCAAAGTCTGCATTGTTTAGGTTTTTGTTGCCGGGGGTGGGGAATATTAAGCAAAACCAGCTTGGAAGAGGAAATTATTTAACTTACAGGTTATTGTCAATGGAGGGGTACAGAGAACTGTCAAAAACATTTTTGGAAGGAACTAAAGCAGAAAGCATGGGAAAATAGACTTACTGAGTTGATGTGTTACACTGCCCAAGACTACCTGACCAAGGACGGCATTGCCTACAGTGGGATAGACCCTCCCAAATTAGTATTAGTCCAGTAGTAAATGACCACTCCCACCCACATTCCCATAGGCCAGTGTAATAGAGGCCGTTCCTCAACTGATTTGATTATTCCCTCTTCCCAGGTGATTCTAGTTTTGTCAAGTTGACAGAAACTAGCCAGCCTACTGTCTTAAGAGAATTATCATTCATTCAAGTATCAAGCCCACAAGTCAGGGAAGTATCCTAGACAAAATGCTAGTGCCTTTTTAAAATTTAGCTTTTATTAAATCCACACAGCCATTTCATCAACAAAAGCAGCCACTCATGCTTCCTAACTGTCTTACATCAGTTTACTTCTCTCTCTCTGTACTGCCAACCACCAGTCCCAACTGCCAGGATCTTTCGTTCTCCTAAATAATAAAAGTTTGATGGCTACTCCAATTATCGTTCATAATGTAAAAAAATACATCGGATGGAATTGTTTAGACCACCATGAAGGAAGAGAAAGAAAATCTTACATTAGTTTCTAAATTCCCTCTACACACGATGGTAATTACTTAAATACGCAACAGGAACGTGTACGCACATCACATTGTTTTCATTAATCATTAATAGTCACCATCCCCTGGTTGTATCACCATTAGTCGTCAGTGCCTCCTATCTGGTTGGATACGTTGGCTGAAGAGCAGTAGGGTACTTGTACACCCATCTTACATCCGCTTTGCGTCTGCCTTTCTAAAACGGGGGCTCCCCGTCTGAATTTTCTCAGTCATTTTCTTCCAAATGACCTTGGGATCATCTGAAAGCCTGGGGAAGCCCCGATGTGCATCTCCAATATGGGTGAGAAAGTCTGTGGTATGAAGGTGTTCGTCTATTTTCTCTTGGAGCAGAAACGACTCCAGCAGAGTCTTCCTGCGCTTCAGGAAGTCAGATTGAGCCAGCTCTGCCCTTTTGCTGTTGCAACTGGGACACTGCGAAGAAACATGCTGCTTAAGGGCCCCTATGTGCGCTAGAGTCGCCCTCGTGTTCTTCAAATAGATTCTGCTCAGCAGTTCGTCAGGAACAGTGCAATTGGAAGCGTCTACCTCTGAAGTCTCTGCAACCCGTCTGAGTGGTAGCCTTTTGTGCCTGGGGCTTTTCTTTGCTCTTGAATCCTCTCCCTGGTGGATCAGGTTTACTTTAACAGAACAAAAAGACTGGAGGGCATTCAGTTCATTGGCGGATGCCCCAGGAGTTTCTGTTGGGAGTCTACTGTGGGGTTGGTATCTTTCCGAATGAATTCCTTTGCCCTTGATGTGGTTGAGCCACTTTTCACTCAGCCTATGTTCTTCCTTCTGTAAGAATGAACGTTCTGGCAGCTCGTCTTGTTCTTCTGAACTTGTAGTCGGCTTCCCACTCTCCAAAGAGCTCTCAGAGTTGTAGGAATAGGACTGCTCTTCCCCGGAGGAGCTGAGGGAACCAGAACTCACTACCTCATCAGTATAGGACCTGAGGATCTCTTCAGAAATCTGAGTAGCGCATACGTCCGTCTGGGCCGGGCCTCCTTGCTCTTCTGAGTCCCCCGGATCTTGAGTAGATGGCCATCCCATTGCCTCGGACTCTATTCGTCATCTGTTTTGTTCTGGTCAGAAATGGGCCTGGAATCAATAAAGATGAGCCTACAGGGCAATATCTTTAGGTGTCTTTGGGCGCCGCCGGCCAAGACTTCCGGGTACGCCTTTTCTGGTTGCCGTGGCAACGCGCGCCGGTCATGCGCAGTGAGTAGTCTTTCTTGGTTTGTCCCACCCCTCCGCCCCCCCACCTTCACCCGCTCCTGCCTGGGCGGGCTCAACAGCCCTATTATTCAGCTCCCAGGCTGCCTGGAATGCTCTTTAGAGCACTGTGATTCAAGGGAAAAGACCTCAAACTCCTTTCCCTCCAGATCAGACCGGGCTATGCACACACGTGAGTTCCATAGAGACAGACAGGTGGTCTGTGACAAAAGAAATAGTGCGGCTTGCCTCAGGAAGACAGTTTTCACAGAAAGTGCTCGCTAGGGTATGCAACAAAAATATTCCTGTCTTAGAGTCAAGGGAGAAGCTGTTCGCATTCATGCCGTAAGATGAAAACAGAAGTACGGGCATAAAATACATGGTAGGGCCCATGTGCAGTCACTCCAGGATTCCGAAGACTTTGCAGTTTCCCCAAACCGCGACAGTCTTAGGTGTTGTCCCCTCCACCTGCCAGGTCAGTGCCCTCCTCTCTGTATGCCTTGCTACATGATTATTACTCCTTTAAGTCACGTTTCCAAAGGAAGGGCTTCCCAGTTCTTTTCTGGGTGCAGTGCAGCTGAGTCTTCGGAATTGAAGGCTGCAGAGGCAACAGCTCAAGAATTCACTGGTAGCGTGCATAAGGACTGGTGATGGATATCGATTTACGCAGGGGCAGTGGGTTTTGTGGCATACATAATTCCAGTTTAAGAAAATCCAGATACCCTACTCTGCAGTCTTCAAACATAGGTAGCCCTTTACCCATGTTACATTCCTTTATTCAGGCCTTTTAAACAACAATCTCGCAGACCCAGATAGCCTGGCATATTAAGGCCATGCTGGCAAGCTTGATGATAAGCCTGAGACATACACATGGCAAAAAGAGAAGAAAATGGATTCCCAAACTCATGTTATATTCCCTCTGTCCTCCCTCACACCCCTCCCCCTTTGTGTTCACCCACTGACTTACTTTAGAAAGGTCAACTGTCTGAAATATTCAAAGATCATCCGAGAAATGAGACCAGCCTTCTTTTAAAGATAAGGACTTTCCAAATTCTTTTTCCCCCAGCCTAATTAAGAGCAGACAGATAATTGTGTATCTAAGGGATTTCTAACAGAAATAACGTTTTTATTTTAAATTTTTATTTCAAAATTCTCCCTCATTCTCCCATTCATAATTCCATGCAATTTATCATTTCCTCCCCTTGAACAAGGACTTTATCTTAATTACAATGCACTCTGTAATTGTTTCCATGTGCTAAACACCCAGACTAACCTGGGTTTTCTATTTTTCAATAATGTTGTAAATTTATCTCAGTTTAAAAGAGAAATAGCTTTATCTCTGAAGCAGAAAATCTGAATAGAGAATTGTAAAATTAATTAATTTCTTTATAAAAAGCTGTGGGAATCTTAACATCTTAATAACTTGCTTAAGGAAGAAGAATAGCTACAATATACTGTCACTGTCCTTTATGTGAATCATTTTTCAACTGGATTGCAAACTGAAGTTCCAGTGTATCTGTGTTTGAAAATCCCTGTCCCTATTAATTTTTCTCAGTCTGTAAACCAAGGGGAAGATGTAGTTATTGACTTTCACATGTGAGTATCATCAGGGCCAAGTGTACAAAGTTTCAACTGTTCTGTAGCTGTGGCATTGACACATTCTGTGTTTCTCAGAGATTAGGAAGAAAGTGTGAACAATCAGAATGTTGCAGATTATTATTCTTTTCTTAATTGTGCATTTCAAGTGAGTCAAAACAAATAAGAAAGACAGAGTGAAAGGGCAATAAGGAGTTGCAGCCTCCCATTCTATCCCAAACTCTCTTCATACACAACTAAGGGACATAGATGACTTCCGCTGGCTTTACCAAACACAAGCTCAGTCAGGAGTCACAGGAGTAAAATACAGTAAGACGCCCTCAACATTTCTTGTTTTTAATCTGGAAATGAAAAAAAAATCACTCATGGAATTGACAGAAGGAAAATATTTATGTAGGTTCCAGAAAGTTCTATAAATAGTAGTTCAGGGTCTCAATAATTATAGTACATAATTATTTATACTTAAACTGACTTATATACAAACTTCAGAATCATGTCTTCAGATTTATACAAACAACTCTTACTAAATGTAAAAGAAATGTTGCATTTTTCATTTCTCTGAATTAATGTCATTCCCCCTTACAAGTTCATATCTATGTTGGTGGCAATGGAAAACTACCGACTTGAGACTTAGTGTCATTCCAGACATTCCCACATTTGCCAGTCTCACTAGCAAATATTCAGCAAATGTTAAATCTCCCCCCCCATCTTTTCTCCCTCCCCTCTTTCCTCCTTCCCCCTCCCTAAATGGAAGCTATAAAGAAGAACCATGTTCTCAGGGCATTTCACACAAGGTGTCTCCCACATTCACATCCAGTCCTTGTCATTATCTTCTTTAAATATAATTTCAAAAATAATTAATTTATCATTTAGTTTGGTTTGGGAAAGAGAAAGCAGTATACATTGCTACACACTTTTTACATTGTTTACTGCTTAAAAGTATATTCAAGGTGTCACCCAGAAGCAGCATACAGATACCCTTGCTTATTTCTCTCAATAATTACATTGTTTCCCATTGTAAGGAATTACTATATTCTGATGGAAAGTTTCTAATTGTTCTTTGTATCTCTGGCGATGTGTATCCAAGATGATCCCTAATAGTGAGATTACTGTGGTGAACACTAAAGATACATGTAGTTTTCCAATTGCCCTAGGTAAGGAGTATCATTTTGGCATTTCAGCCTAAAACTATAAAAAGACCTATTCCAGAGCTTGGCTCCTGGGCTATTTATTCAATTTTGTGGGATTTTGTATATTTGCATGTCTTTAATTTTATCTTGATGCAATGTGAATTTGAACCTCTGTTATTATTAGTGAAGTTTAGCAGATTTTTATATACATAAGGATCATTTATAATTTTGGTGTGTGTGTTGTTATTAATTTTGGTGGGTGGGTGCTGCTTGTTCGTTTCCCAACCAACCAGATCAGAAATAATTACAGAAACTGTGTTAATTAAAACACTGCTTGGCCAATTACTTAGGCATATTGCTAGCTAGCTCTTATATCTTAACCCATCTCTATTAATCTGTGTATCACCTTGAGGTCATGGCCTACCAGCAAGGTTCCGGGGTGTGTCTGTCTCCTCTAGTGGCTACACAGCTTCTCACTGACTCTGCCTACTTTCTCCCAGCATTGTTTAGTTTTCCTCCCTAGTTCTATTCTGCCCTATCACAGGCCAAAGCAGCTTCTTTATTCAAGAACCAATAAAAGCAACACATATACAGAAGGACTTCCCATACCACATTTCTTCTACCCATTTTAGTTTAGCACTTTTATTTTTACTTTTCTGTTATTTCAAAGTATTCAAAAACACCTTTCTTGTTGAAATCGCGATTTATTTTCCTGTGGCCTAAGTCCTTTTATTTACTCATGCTGTTTATTGCCATTAAAAGGTTTTCATTTTATATCAAAATGTTCAGTCTTTTCCCAAGTTGTTCTTAGATTGTACTAGGCTTTGATAGTTCTAGTCATCATATTTAATTGGCTTCATTGTGTTGGTGCGCAGTTCTTTGGATTTTTAACACATGAAACCACAAGCAGATACATGCAAACATCTTCAGACTCTGGATGAAAAGCATCTTTCTTGTTCCATCTCCTTTGCATTCTCAAGTCACCCATGTTATATGTAACAAGTTCTTTCTGTTGACTTTTTCCCTATGAGTTTTAGATATACAATCACATCTGCAAGTTAGACAGGCCACTTGGTTTTAGATCCCTAAAGATGGTTTGTTTTGTTTTGTTTGGGGAGTTGGAGGTTGCCTCTGGGTCCTCCAGGATTTTAACAAACTGTGTCACCAAGCTGGGCCAGTCACCTCTGTCATCTCCAATTATATTGTCTCATCTAATTTCACTGAGGATTACCTCAAAGGGTAAGCGAATTATTTTTGAACCTAGAAAACATTCCCATTTTCTAAATGAGATATTATCTTTGCTCTGATTTGTAAAATTTATAGACAATGTCTTGTTGTTTAGAAATGCTTCGACATTTGTAAACAAGGAGTCACTTTACAAAATTATCCTATAAAATACTACTGCAAAATTTTGATAGTGTAAATAGATAAATAACTAGACTTTCAGAAAAACATGTAAATTAATAAAAGCTCTCCAACAAAAACTGTTACGTTTCTCATCTATGTTGGTTTAATATTTCCAGTGCATCATTTACTTTTCCCAGATTTACATTTTTAAAGCTAAGATTAAGGGCTGGGAGTCTTCCTCAGTAGAACACCACCCTCATATGCATCCCTACGTCCACTGTTCAGCATCAGAGAGAAAACAAATAATTTTAAGTGAAATTCTGAAAATGTAGCAGGTTTTTATTTTTGCATCATCCTTAAATACATGATACTCAATTTTAAAGTAAATATTTAGAAACAAATTTGCTTTCCTGTTACTGTTATACCTTTAACTAACAAAGAAAATGTTGAGCCCAGGCATTTTGAATGTCCCAGTCTTCTTTTATTTTCTACGAGATAACAACAATACATAATTAATAATTTGACTTAACTTCCTAATTTTAACTCTTTCGTTTTCTTTCAGTTAAAAAAAAATCAGAAACCACCATCACATTGAAGTTGGACAAGGCAAACCAATGACTGTCTCAGTCTTAAGAAAAACTGAAAATAATTTCAATTCTCTTTTTCAAAAAAAAAGTTATCAATGAAATGAGGGTATTTTTTAGGACTGTTTTCTTCTAAGTGCTTTCAAAAAGGATCTGTCCCAAGACTCTGTTTTTGATTTGTAGATAGCCATTTTTATGACCACACTGTATTCTTTCCCTACACATTTGGCTGTATGTCCAAATTCCTCTTTTTACAAGGAT